TCCCAAGCAAGTCTTCCATAATAGGCATTTAAGAATAAAGATGCCTAGAACAGGTCTTCTTTTGTAATTATGCTACAAATTAAGTATCTTCCTGCTTTTTCGGTCTCACTGGGAAGGAGACCGGATTTAAGATCGAATTCACTCTCCTTATTTCAAAGACAAGTGTCCTGAGAGCCAGGGAGTGAAGTGACTTGTTGGGGGGGGGGGGGTGAGGCTGGCACCAGTGCTGGGGTCTCCTGGGCCACACTCCACGAGGCCCTCCCTCCCTTCCTTCCACCCTCTGCTCTCTCCTCCTCCGCTCGTTCCCTACTTTGCTAGCCTGCACATCAGGGTTATTTCTCAGAGCTTACTTCTAGACCCTCTCCAGCCCTTTCTTCTTAGCCCGGCTTCTGAGGTACTTGACCTGGATTGCGAGCTACATGTGTACTCCTTAAATCCACATTTTTGTGTGGATGGCACCTGTAACTCCCGCTCACTGTGCCCTACAGTGTCTTGTAACTAAATGCTTCCACAGACTTTCCCCCAGCCACCACAGCCCTGCCATTCTCCAAGGTCAGGGGGATGACAGCCTGGTGCAATCTTTAGCTCCCCCTCGTTCCTCAGATGCAAGTTGTCACAGGTGATTCCTGAGAGCTTATTTTCCTCAGAACACTGCACTGTAGCTATGGCCCTCAGTCTGATTTATGGAGGGGCCACTGTGTGTGGGGCACGGGGCTGGGTGCTAGGACACGAAGATACCATGACACTGTCTCTGCTCTCAAGAAGTGCGGTGGAGGGGCACCTGGGTGGCTCATAATTAGTATCCAACTCCGGCTCAGGTCATGATTTCACTGTTCGTGGGTTCGAGCCCCGCATCGGGCTCTCTGCTGTCAGCACAGAGCCTGCCTCAGATCCTCTGTCTCTCTCTCTCTGCTCCTCACCCCTCTCTCAAAAATAAACATTAAAAATAAAAAAGGACAATATAGTGCGGGACCCAGGCAAAGCCTCTATTAATTAAGCAAACTCCTAGGTGCCAGGCTGGCTTGCCTGTCCCCATGCCCAGGCCCTGCTGTTCCTGTGCTTCCCTGGTCTCTGGCCCACACCTGGTCCCGCCCTTGCAAATACCACCTCCATCTTACATATACCCCACAGGGCATCCAGGTGCCACCTGAAACCTGGCTTGTGCTCGTTATTTCTCTTCCTGAGTAGGTTTTCTTTGTGCACATCCCTTCCCCATCACTGCCACATGACGCCCCCAGATGGCCCGGTTCCTTCTCCCTGACAGAAGTGGGAGTTTGAGGGCTGACACTGTGTCTCTGTCTGTAGGTCTTCCGAGGGAGAGGCTCACTGGTCCACTTTCTCTGTATCTCTCTGCGTCTCTGCCGCTGGGATGTCTGCTTCAGTTCTGGTGCTGACCGACCGGAAGTTCTGGCCTTGAGAGCCAGCCTATGACTGCTGTGACGTGCACCTGCCTTTGGAAGCTTAGAGCACAGCCTCCGGAGGATGCTGCTGGGGAAATCCTGGGGGGACCAGAGAGGGAGTGATCAGACCTGGTGGGGGTTTTTGGGATATAATTATCACCAGGCCAGGAAGGAGCCTTTTTCGTTTTGTTTTGTTTCTAAAGAGCCCATTTCCCTGTTTTTGTTTTTTTCCCTTCACTAGAGCCACATGTTGCTATGGGAACGAGGATGGCACTGGGACCCACAGCCACTCACCGGCCTGACAGAAGCCTGTAAATAAATTCTGCCTCACTCCGGGCTCCGCGCTGAGTGGTCCTGGAGGGCAGCTCAAGCAGCCACTTGCTGACACTCTGTCCTGCTGGTGCCGGCGTGCGCAGGACCCTCCTGCGGCAAGCTCGTGAGCTGACGGCTATTCTGCCACGGTGAGCACGGAGCACGCGGGGCAGTCTGCAATCGCCCACCCTCCGCAACCCTCCACGACACGATCTCGTTCGTGTCTATGGGGTCCCCAGGGCCAGGATCATCTGACCCATTTCACGGATGAGGAAACCCCCTCCTCCGGACCTGGTCCCCGCATCCACGCACGCCAGCTGTGCTGCTTGGGCTGGCAGCCCGCACTGCCGTCTCCGCCGCGGGCTGCCCTCCACGGTGCCACGAGTTCAGGCGCCCCTCACGTGGCTGACTTCCACCAGGCGCGAGGCTGAAATCCCTCTAAGGAAGGGCCCTGCCGTGGTTTCTCTCCTAGGCACTGGCTGGCACGGGAAGTGTGCCCACAGAAGCCACTTGCTAAGTCTGACTGTGCCACGGCAGAGATGGGCTCACTTCTGTGGCTTTACTATTTATTATGCATTTGTGGGAGACAGAGCAGCCTGGATGTTTTGAGAGACCAATTACCCGGATTCAGGGACACCTTGGGTGGCTCAGTCAGTTAAGCGTCCGACTCTTAATCTCAGCTCAGGTCACGATCTCACAGTTTGTGAGTTTGGGCCCCGTGTCAGGCTCTGAGCTGACAGTGTGAGGCCTGCTTGGGATTCTCTCTCTCTCCCTGCCCCTCCCTCTCTGTGCATTCACGCGCTCCCTCTCTCTCTCAAAAACAGACTAAAAAAAAAAAAAAGATCAATTACCTGGATTCAAATCCTCACTCTGTCACTCACCAGCAGCATGACACAGCAAGTCACTTAACATCACTCGGCTTTAGTTTCTTCATCAAATTTTCCTTTCTGCTTGAAACATTTTGGCTGTGAAAACCACGCACCAAAGAGTACACGCAAATGCAAATGCATAGCTTGTTGAATAACTATGTAATGAAAGCCACGCAAACTTTCAAGAACCCAGGAACATTGCTGGTGTACCTTGGTCCCTCCACATGGCCGGCCCTTCCTGATCCAAGCCTCCCCACCCTGAGGAAGCCACAATTCTGGTTTTAATAATAATAATTCCTTTGCTTTTTTTTTTTTTTTTAAGTTTTACCACCTGTGTCCACATCTTCAAATGTGATAGGTTACTTTTACCTGTTCTTGAAGTTTTAAGAACATAATCCTAATTTACGTATTCTTTTGTATCTGACTTCTTTCCCTTGGCATGCTGTGATGTTCATCATGTAGATCACAGCCCCCTGGATGACGTACTAGGCTTGGCTTATCCATCTCCCTGGACAGATGACTGGGTGGTGTCCCACTTCGGTCTGGTATGGACGAACGGTGCTGCTGTGAACATTTTCATTCTTGCAGAAGAGCTTCTTTAGAAAACACACACGAGTGTGAGATGCTTAGTCTTAGGGCAGGCATGCAGATGTTCAACTTTAGTAGATCTTACCAAACCATCCTCTTCGGCAACTACAGCAGGTCATACTCTCACAGCGCTGGATGTGAGTTGCCCACTGCTCCTCATCTTTGCCAACACTTGGTACTGAGCTAATTCACTTTTAAAAAAATATTTTATTATTATTTTTTAATATGTACTTATTTTTGAGAGAGAGAGCACGAACAGGGAAGGGCCAGAGAGAGAGAGGGAGACACAGAATCTGAAGCAAGGCTCCAGGCTCTGAGCTGTCAGCACAGAACCCAACGTGGGGCTCGAACCCACGAACCATGAGATCGTGACCTGAGCCGAAGTTGGATGCTTAACTGACAGCCACCCAGGTTCCCCTGAGCTACCTCATTTTTAAAAAGCGAATGAGAGTAGAATCTACTTCCATATGACGGTTAGATAGTGTAATAAACCTAAAGGGTTTGGAATAGAGCCTGCCACACAGTAAGTGCTCAGTACACATGAGCTCCTGTTTTATAATTTATAATAAGAATAATCATTATAAAGGGCCTTGAACTAGGACATGCTGAGGTATGTGGCTTATTTACCTTTCCACTTACAAAAGTGACTGGTTGAAGAAACTCTTCATTGTGACTACAGAAAGTCTGCCTTAGACCACCACAGTCTCTTGATGGTGAGAACCTGTATTACTGAACCCTTTACGTGGCTGACTGATGCACAAGGGAGACTGAACAATTCCTTCACTCGCGCAGCTGACAGGTGCTCTATGCTGATGCGCACCAGGCCCATGCGAGGTGCCTGGGATACAGAGATAAATATGACGCAGGCTCTTTCCTCAGCTGCACACACACAGTAGGTGAAGTGGGACCCTGAGAGCAGCCTATGGACCATCAGCCCTATCCTCAGCTTCTGTTGACTTGGCAAAGGTTTGCATGTGGCTTCTTGGGAGCGGGACCCCAGTCTTTCTATATTGCAGATAGCTAGTTTTTTCTATCGTCTTTTTGAGCCCCCAGGGGCCATCTGTGCCCCTGAGCTCTCTGCCTACTGAAAAATCGCTCCAGAACGTGCTCTCAAACCCGGGTTCCCATCCAAGCCATAAGAAGAAACAGGTACCACTTCTACTTCCTTTAATACACGGACAGATTTGCAGACAGCTCTCGTCTGGACCTCGTCTGGCCTCTGAGGATGGAGGTGTGTCCCTCTGTGGCCCTGCTACGATAATTAATGAAATGGAAACGAAGGGGTCCACGCGAGGTGCTGCTTCAAAAGCAGCAGGGCTCCTCCACGGTCTCCAGAGCTGAAACTGGAGATCTGCCGTGACGTTTGTGGTGTTGTTGACAAGGCCCGGGTTGCAACCGTTTCCAGACAAGAGAGCCTCAGAAAGCTGAGCAGTACCTGCCTCCTGAACACGCAGAGTTGATTAGCAGTTGAGGAAGACGGGCAACCGCACGGGAACGACCTCACAACTTCCAGACTGGCGGCTGAGACCACCATAACGTGACTGAGGAAAACAGCCCAGGAGGACCTTTCGGGCCACTGGCCCTGGGGAGAATCAGACAAATGGAAACAACTGAAGGAGAGCAGGATGAGAGGGCGGGCGTGCTAAAAGACACGTGTCTGCCATCTAGTGCCAAGCGTGACAAGAAGACAAAGGAAACCCTGCGAGTGGGCAGAGAAGACATGCAAGAAAGGCAACCGAGGGTAAAGGGGAGAAACGCGAGCCGTGTGGGAAACACGCCAAGCACAGGGAGACTGCGGAGCAGGGGAAGACAGAGCACACGCTGGCAGGGAGGGAGAGGAAGCGTAAGAAGCGAAGATAAGTGACAAGGATGATGCCAAGTACACGAGGAGTGGGAGGTCACACGAGGCAGTGGTGGAGTCTGTAAGGTAAGCGTTAGGGAAATTTATTGACAGAAGTCGTAAACGTAGCTAAAAGATGAAATGAATTCATTGCTGCGGTGCTCACAAAGGATAGATGAGAGACAGATGCCAGCAGCAGACACACACTTCCCAGAGGAAAGGGATGAAATGCTGCAGGAAATCAGAAGCGTGCCAAAACAGGTGATCAAGAAATCTGAACCTCCACAGTGGCTGAGGCTGCTGTCACCTGAGAGCCCAATCGCAGGGAAGCGGGGAAATTAACATGCAGCGGTCGCAGGCGGACCTCGAGTGCAGGAAGGCCTGGCTGGTTGGGGTGGGACGCACACCCACGCTGGGCAGGAAATCTCAGGCTGTTTCAGCTCAGAGGCCTCTGCTTTTCCAGCAGCAGCCGGGATCCGGGGTCGGGGTAGGTGCCAGCACCACAGCCGCAAGCTGCTAGTAGCCCCAGCCACTGACACACTGTGTGGGCCACTTTCCACCTGCCGCCAAAACAGACCACCCGCGCCCCCCAGGAGTGTTCAAGTCAGAGGAACCTCTGAGCTGGGCCTTCCCTGCCATCCCGTCAGACCTTCTCCCTGGAGGGGGCAGCACCTGCAGAAAACAGTCTTCCCTGGGAGATGTGGCAGTTACCCACATTTCTCTGTTACCCACACATGCTCAAAACCAATTCCATCTACGCTTCTTGAAATTAGCACAAAGCCTGTGGCTTGGTAACATTCAGTATCTAAAGGTCCCGCTTCTGACTAAATGAAGGCCACAGGTGTCATTTGGCAAACAAGCAGTGACAGGCTGAGGAAGTTCTGCTTCTCCCTATACCACCCTCAACTGTGAGACAGAGGGGCCCAGACCCCAATATCCTGATGGCAGATTTCTGGCTTCCATGGGACTAGAGATGGGCTTACCCTGGACCCCATCTCCCTGCCATCCTGGTTTCCTGACTCTGCCCCCAGCCTCCTTTCCCTGGCTGGCTGTGCCATCACGGCTCTCCTCCCGGGCTGCCTTCCCCAGGAGTCCTGCCCCACCAACCTTAGTCACCCCTCTTCCCATACTACAGCCTTGTCTCTCACACCTCTGAACATCACCACCCCAACTTAGACACATTCCCACTGTTCTCTAAGATAGGTGATACTTTTTCCAAAACTAGTATGCTGTAGGAGAGAATGCTTTGAGAGCTGCTATATTCTTTAAAGAAAAAAATTTCTTTTGGTTAATATTTATTTTTGAGAGAGAGAGACAGAGTGCAAGGGGGTGGGGGCAGAGAATGAGACACAGAATCTGAAGCAAGGCTCCAGGCTCTGAGCTGTCAGCACAGAGCCTGACCTGGGGCTTGAACCCACGAACCATGAGATCATGACCTGAGCCGAAGCTGGACACTCATCTGACTGAGCCACCCAGGGGCCCTGAGAGAGTGCTAGATTCTTGACACTCAGGGAGATTCAGCACTTTTGCGTCTTCTTGTGTGCTCTGAGAAAGACAGTTTGTGGGTGTTGCCTTATGATCCCATTCATTATTCATGTTATGATTTCAGATGTTTCCCAGTTGGCAACACCACATTGAGGCTTTTTTCCCTGAACAATAACTGACTCAGTCAGGCAGCCTGGCAAGTTGCTGCTCAGCCAGATGCAACAGATCACCGGTTAATTAGTCAACCTGTACAGACGGGCTGGTGAGTGTACTTGGAGTTCCCTGCATAGACAGTTCTGGAAACTCATTGGGGAAGAGAAGGTCTTGCACTCCAACTTTAGGGTTCTGCAATGGGAAATTATTCCTCATTTGGTTACTGAGGTAGGTGACAGTGTTGGGGCTCAGTGCCGGGAGACCCTCCTAGATACATCCCAGTGCTCCCTGGCCTTCTCGGACCTAGAATTCCTTCTGCTGGAATACTAGACTGCAGAGTCCCATGTAGGGATTAAAGACAGAACTGGTTTGTTTTTTGGGGATGTATTATATGAGAAGTGACTGCACATGAAAAATATTCAATTTTAGCTTGATTTATTATGTGAAGATAAATTTAAATTGTTTTCCAATTTGGTAAATAAAAAACACATAACTTAATGTAAGTATAAGTGGCAAAAAAATTGGGATTTATTGGCAAAATTTAAAAAATATGCTGAGTAATGTATGGGACGGTTGAATCACTATATTGTACACTTAAAACTAATAATAACACTGTATGTTAACTTTACTGAAATTACAATTTTTTAAAAAGATTAGAAAAAAATAAAAAAAATAGGGTATTTGGTTTGGGCCCCAAATATACATTGATTCAGATTCAAATTTACTTTTGTTGCCTCATCAAAAAAAAAAAAAGTGCTTTTATGACCTGATATTTAGAGTTCTTTAATTTTGTGCCTTAACAAATATCAATTTGTTTACTTTTATAATTTTCAGGTTTGGTTAGAAACGAAGAGGTAAGAGAGAAAGTCTCAGACTACTGTTTATAAGCTCTGCTCTCTAAGAAGCACACTGTAGGCACACTGTTCTAAATGAATAAAATGCAAATGCAAATGAATAAAAAGGCAAAATGAGTATAAATTATCACAATATTTTCAGTTTGGAGAATGTGAGTTGAAGTACCAGAAACACCCTGGTATGCTCTGGAGAATTCTGATTTGACAACCACAATGCACGAACCCAGGGCCAGCTATGTAATGTGCAGGGCTCAGCACAAAATGAAAATGTAGAGCCTTCTGTTCAAAAAAGCAGGAATAAAGCTTTATGTTTTCTCCCACAGTTCCTCTCTTGACTGGACACAGGGTTTTCTTTTGCTACTTAATGTTGCAATCCCTTGGGCAAGGGGACTCCGAGGCCGGGGCAGACCGACATAGGCGCCTGGGGCCCAATCCTGTGACTCAGGTGAGAGTCACACCAGACCCTGACCTTCCCTGCAAACACGCTGGGCCTCCAGGGGGAGTGGAGTGTGGTGGGAGGCATGGGTCAGGCTAGGAGGGGGGAGGCTGGACAGGTCTAGGTACCAGGGGTCAGTGGGTGGCTGAGAACCTGTCCTGGGAAGGTGAGAGGGGGCAGAGGTGGGCCTGTGTGTAAACTGAGGCTCCCGGCCCCTGGTGAGTGCCCCACTTCCCCATGGGGCTCCCATTATGAAAACAAATTCACAGGTAAAATTGTGAAGAATTCAAGATGGTGCTGGAGAACATAGACCCCAAGCACAGAGTCCCCTTCTGGGTGTGGAGCCTCACACAACTGCCCTGGTCACATGCCCATGAAGCCAGTCTTGTGTAGAGCTGAGAAATACCATGTTGAGGTGAAAACTACAGAATGGTTACTATTTTGATGCCTTTCATTTCCTCTTGAGTTCCAGCTTTCCTGTTCCTTATGATTCCTGTCTTTTTTTAAGTTTATTTATTTTGAGAAAGAGAGAAAGAGAGAGAGAGAGAGACAGAGAGAGCATGCACACACACAAACGAGAGTGGGGGGAGGAGCAGAGAATACCAAGCAGGCTCCATGCTGAAGCATGGAGCCCGACATGGGGCTCCAACCCACTGGACTATGAGATCATGACCTGAGCCAAAACCAAGAGTTGGACGCTCAACCAACCGAGCCATTCAGGCACCCTGTGATTCCTGCCTTTAACTAGCAGTCCTTCAGAGGTTCACACTCAACACTCATGACTGTATAAAAAGCAAGGGTGTAATAAGCAGATGAAATCAACAGAGTGGCCACTAGTGCTCACTCAACACCCAAAGAACAGAAAAGGTAAGTAATGAACTTACAGTTGACTGACACTATTCACATCTTAAATGGTGTGACTGAATCCGCAGGTGCCCCTGTGAGCTCACTGGAAATCCATATTGTCGAGGGGATGACGGTCCAGGCGTGCCTGGCTCATGTCTGGTTTACACTTGCCGTCCTAGTGTGATTATGGATCATGCCCTCCCTCACACTCAAGTGTCCTCGTTTCTCTGTTCACCAAGGGCACTGTCTTCTCTTTCCTGATCCAAGGGATCCAGTGCATTTTTTCTGGGGCCATTTACATTCCCGAGAAAACAGCCTGGCGGTTTGAGGCTCAGACCCATCACCTGACTGCTGCCCTGACTGTGGGTACCCAAAATGGGGGGGAAACAACCTGCCCACTCTCCCCCCGTTAAATCCAAAAATGAAGGGACGTCTACAAACAACATGATCTGCTGGGACGATCCAGACCTGGACACCAGTGGAGGAACAGGCCCACTCACAAACATTTATGTGCAGTCTGGCCCAGGACAGAATAGACAGGCAGAGAAAACCAGCAACTGTCTTCCATGGTGGTCCCGTGGGGCCGGGGTCCCTTAAACACCATGTTCAGAGCACTGAGGGACCTCTGAAATAGCTGTCGTCTGGGAGGGCAGAAGACTTGAGGACGGGTTGTTTGACCTCTCAAGGTCTCTGTGGTTGCCGATTCCATAGGGAGGCTGGTGGGAGTAAGCAAAGCCATAGGAGTTGGCTTTCATTTCCCAGTGAAGAGACATCTAGAAATGATAATGACATCCCCACTGTGCAGGAGCAGGACTTTCCTCTGTACCGAGCTGTCTGGACAACGGGCCATTAGCGGGGAGAACAAACAGTTCCACTTAACTCGGGATGTAGCATTTACCTGGACATCATGAAACAGCACAGCGTCTTTCATGAAAGGAGACCCTCACCTCATTTGCTGTGTTGTGTGTTCCCACGATTCGGATGAAGGAGGCAGGCTGTCTTTCAAAAGTTACAGATTGCCAGGACCTGTGAGAGGAAGCACAACCATTTGCCTGGTTAGACTGTACGGTTAACCCTGTGGGCAGGCAGGGGGAGCCAGGTGCTGAGGAAGGAGGGTGCCTGTCCTCCATCCTCAGGAGGCCTGTGAGGTGGCAGGGGCGGGGGGTGGGGAAGGGGAATGGGAACAGGGCTCTCCCTCATGTGTGCCTGAGGAAGGCAGTCAGTATGTAGTGTCCCTGCCTTCTGTGAAGGCAACCTGGGACTCACATAAAGCTCCCCCATCAACACACACAAAGTACAGACCAAGTTCACGAGGGAACAATTGTGAGGCTGAAAAGTGATCAAGGTCAGTGAGAGTTCACAAAACACATTTCCTCATCTGTGAAACGGGCCTGTTGGCTGAATGGGCGTGCGCCTGAGAGGCGTGGTGGGTTCTGGGAGGAGAGTTTTGAACCAGGGCAGGAATGTGGACTGAGCAGGGCAGGGCAAGGGGAGGGGGAGGAGGGGCTCGCTCACTGCCATGAGTGCAAGTGGTGGCACCTGGGGAAGAAGAGGCAGTTTCTCCACAGGCCTCCACCTCCCCCCCCCCTTTCCTGCTTCCAAAGGCATCCCCCCAAGGGCTTATTCTCAGGACCTGCCAGTCTCTGGGCGGGCTCAAAGACAGCTGCTTTAAAGCCCAGCCAGGCAGGCTCTGAAGCAACCCCGAGAGGAGGAGCTCTGCTCTTGGTTTAAGGCTCACAGCTCATCAGAATGCACTGGAGGAGAGCTCGGCACCCACGACTGTAAACTCCAATAATATTTTCTGTAATAAATGTGAGGAGTTCACAGTTGTTGCCATCCCTCCTCCGCTCACACAGTGGAGATGCCAGCTGCTGGGAAGCTGTTTCCTGTAATTGTCTAATTACCAAGCAATGCTACCAAAGAAAATATATGTATTTGTGGTTTGTTTTTTTCCCCCTTTGGTTTCAGGTGTTCCATCTTCTCTCTCACTGTGAGCCTCCCACTGAGATTGATTCACTGCTGCCCGGACACCCAGGCCCCTTCAGGTCATTAAAAAGTCGTTACCATCCTGTGTGCAAAGTCTGTGCCTCTGAAAGCAGTTTTCTGGAAACAGCATAAGAAAAATCATTCTCTTTGCAAAAATGCTATCATTCATATGTGAAGGTGATGCCATCTGATCATCCCCAGAGACTGCACTCTTGGCCCATGTCCTCGGTGGGGGTGGGGGTGGGGGTGGGGGGTGTTTTGCTCCCACACCCACGTGGCTCCCCTGGTGAGTCTGCTGGATGGGATGCAGCCCGTGGGCTGGGGCCAGGGCTACAGAGGGAGGCCCTGTGGGGCTTCAACCCCGGGCCTGGGCTCCCACAGGCAAACCTGTCACTTCTGAGGTGAGCTGTGTGACTGACAGACTGGCATCCTTCCTCTGGCAGGTCAGAGGAAGCGAGGGGTCCACGCTGCGTGGGGCAGCAGAGGCCCATCCCTGTTCCTAAGGGACGCACACACTGAGTCTGGGCCACTGCCTGCTTCTCAGACCAGCCCTCCAGGAAAGGGAGACAGAGCCAGGACAAGTGACAGCAGCCGCTGACAACTATTATCTTCCAATCGGTTTCAGAAAAATGACTGGAGTGGAGAGGGGCTGGGTGTGGAGGAGGTGCAGACTGTGTTCTTAGATTTCTAGCTGCATGCCTATCAAAAAAATCCTTACGTGCTTCTGGACATAGAGGTAAAACTTGGCTCACGGTCTTCAACAACATGCTTGTGGCTCTGAGAGTGCTGGGGGATCCAAATGATGCCTCCTGAGGTCCCACCTGTCCTCCTCTCACAACAGGGCTGGGAGCCCAAGGCAGTGAAGGGAGGGAGATCTCACGGGAGTCGCCTTGGGCAGAGCCGGGCTCCCTGGGCAGCGGGCTCACGGCTTGGGCGCGTGTGCCCCCTGCCTGTGCCTGGGGAAGCAGGGCTGGCAGGGCAGCAGCCCAAGCGGGAGGGAGCATTTGTGGAGTAATAAGATCAGAAGGCCTCAATTTAATACCAATCCTCCATTACACCGCATTAATATCTAATCACATTAGAGTTCATTTTCACTAACACAGCCTGAGAGTTGCAAGATGATTTCATTTTCAGCAAAACTGGATACCGACCCTAAAACAAAATATCAGGAGGAAGGGATGCTGGTTAGGGTGAGATAATGAGCATCTCTCCCTACCCAAGTATCAGATCCCATTTCCCCTCAACTTCTTGCAAACAACTTTAAATGCTGCTCGATGGGGACATGATAAGGTGGCCCCGGAAGTCCTTGTCACGTTGGGGCCGTGTATGCAATCACCATGCAACTGGAGGACGGCTGCTGAGCCGCGATCTCACAGCGCCAGGAAACTACAGCCATCACTCAGTCCACACGAGGCTCCACTGCCATATTTATTGAGCTTTACTGACAGCTGTATAAAATATGCCTCCTTGCCAAGTACCCTGAGTCCCTTCCTTAGCAGGCAGCATGCCCAGGGAGGCAACGGAGTCTTAGGGGCATGGCACCCAGTTTGGCTCACGGCCATGACTGGGTGACGGAGGAAGTGTCTGCACAGGAGCAACGGGTGTCAAAGCATATGTGGTCTCTGCTTCGAGCACGTACACTAAAACAGAAAGCCCTACCCTGGACTGAAGTCCCAAGCTGTTACTCGCAGGAGGGGCTCTCGACCACAGGAACCACTCCCCGCCTTGAGCTGCAGGCTCAAGAACAGGCTCCCCCCCGGTTACAGAAGTAACCTCACCTGGAGTGCGCTCCGGAGGACCGGGGAGTGTAAATATGTATCTACACACAGATGTGTTCAGAGGGAGATCCGAAAGAATGTTTGTCAAAATGTTGATCAGGATTTTAGCTTTGGATGAAAGAATTCCCAGAGAAATTTACTATACTTTTGTACTTTTCTGCACTGTCTGAATTTGGTAGAATGTAGAGGTAAGCATTTTTGAAAAGTACCTGTCCTGCCTACTACTCAAGGTTTTAACACAGATCACGTGACATGAAGCAAGTGAACATGCCAATGCTATATTATTATGCAAGATATTTCTAGTGGGGGGAACGGGGCAGGGCAAGGGGGGTGACAGTCAAGACAGGAGGCTTTGATCCTGGCCCTTCATGAACTAGAGGTGGTACGGCACACTGGTTGACAACATGGGCTCTGGGTCAGAATCTCAGTTTTGCACTTTTACCAGCTCTGTGACCTTAGGCAAGCTGCTTAACCTCTCTGGGCTTCAGGCTCCTCATCTGTAAAATGAAGATAATAAAAATATCTAGCTTTTTTGGGTAAAGATTAAATATATTAACAAGTATAAAACATCTAGAACCATGTGCTAAGTACTAAAGCACTAAAAATGGTACTGTTATTACTACTGGAGATGGTATTGTTATTACTACTAAATTACTATTAGCCAAAAGAGTCTGGACAGGACACACTGCTTTCCTGGGCCTCATCTGGGAGTCACCAAGTTTGTTACTATGTGATTTACTGACTACTGCAGAGGTTCCCAGGGGTACCCATGGCACCCCATCAGCACCCATTTCTTGGAGGCAGTCAAGGTGGCTGGGCTTTGGAGGAATTATGCAAGCATTTCTTGAATATACTCTTGAACCTGACACCTGAGTGTTCCAGGGGATCCACGCAAGACGTAGTGCTGGCCCTTAGGGGCTTCCTGATCTCTCTGGGGAGATCAGCTATCCTTCTGTGCACTATGGAGAGAACAATGTCAACAGTGCATTGGTCCCAACTCACAAACTGGTGGTGTTCCAACGCTTCCCTTGTAATTGGTTGTTTGAAGCTTGGAAGCAATTTTTCCAGAGAAATAAAGTTAGAAATTTTGGTTGGGTTTCCAGACCTACCCATAACATTCAATTTAACCCATAATGAGGCTGAAATACTATATATATGAAGTAAAAAAAAAAAAAAAAAAGGAAGAAAATGATGTTGTTGCCATAGTGGTAATTAAACAAGCCAGAAAAACAAGAGCTCGAGAACAGTCTCTCTAAAGCTGCTGCTTGACGAAGGATTAAGTACTGTCAGGCGCATGCAATCAGGCGCCTGTGGCTGGCATACGGTAGGTGGTCTGTTTAGGAGTGAAAAAGTAGGCCAGGAGCTGTCCTCTGTCTGCAGACCACTGCATGGTCACAAAGTGCTTCACGATCATGATCTATCACATCTGGTTGCCAGCAATCTGTTAGGTACCAAGGCAGCCAACTGCAATCCCATTTCTGAGGTGAGACACTGAGGCAGAAAGAGAGGCAATCTGTCCACATTCCAGTGCCACCAGGTGTAGAGTCAACAGAAGCCAGATTTAATGGCTGTCTGTTTTCCTTCCACCCAAGGGCACAGTGAGGAACTTTCTGACCGAGAGGCTGGGGCACTGACTAATCCCTGTCGCCTGGGTCCTCGAGTTTCAGACCTCATTTATGTGCTGGTACCGTGAGGCCAAGCTGGAGATCACGCGCGTGAGCGGATCGCAGGCTGACCTCTGGGTCCCTACATGCAATGGTGGTGAACTGGTCGGAAGGGTTCAATGGAGCGACGGTGTTTGGCACACGGTGGGCGCTCAGTGGCTTCCGGCTGCTGTTCTGTCTTCATACTCACACGTATGGAAGAGCGAAGAAGAGGCTCCCTAGGTGCTTCCTCTCCACACAGATCAGCGTGGAGACATGGAGAACACACGGGGTCGTACTGACAGGCAAGCCAGGGGACTGCATCTACAATGTGCCCCCCACCCCTACAGCTGCACACGTTACTCATGGAAACAAGCATGCTTACAAAATATTCTTAAATATTCTGGAAGGAGATAGGCTGAGTTCATGACAGTGGTTGTCTCAGAGAGAGGGTGAGGAATGGGTTTGCTGACAGGAGTACAAAGGAGGCTTCATCATTAACTGGAATGTTTTATTTCTTTGATTAAAATAAAAAAGATGAAGTGAACGTGAGAAATATTAACTACAGTCAATTCTGGGGATGAGTATGTGAGTGAATGTTATAATACTTCTTATTCTTTTCTGCATTTTAAACAGTTCTTGAAATAGAGAAAAAAAGAGGGAGAAGAAAGGCAGTGAAACAGTGCCTGTGTTTATACGAGAAAGAATTTACCAGGGGTGGAGTTAACCAAAGTGCAAATATAAAACTTAGGGGGCTAGGTGGAGTTAGTCCCTCGGTGGGCATGTGGATTTGCCAGGTAGCACCGCTGGCTCCGAGGACACGTGCGTCTTTGTGGGAGCAGAGGACAGGAGAGCTGCCGGCTTGGGGAGGGGTACAGCGGCCATCTGTAGGTGCCAGGCTTGTGTGAATGGCTCTGGTGACAAGGGCCACCAGAGAAAGGAAGGCAGCGGGACTCAGCTGAGACTGGCTTTCCATCCTAAGCCTCATCCTACCTTCTCTGGGGGTCCTGTAGATCCTGTACCAAGGGAAGCTGGTCTTTTAGGTTCTGGAAAATTATGTGATTCTGATGCCTATGCTATAAAGAGAATGCCAGGGTCAGAACTTTTTTGGAGCAGACCTGGTAAACACTGGGGAGATGGCCAGGGCCACACTGGCAGTTAAACATGGCAAACTGAACACACGGGTTAATCTTTGCTCCCTCCACTAAAAGGGCAGTAAGGAAATCTAATATATGCATCATATCAAATATTAAATATATGTGTTCTAACACACACGCGTGTGCGCACGCACACACCCCAAGCAGAGAAACAGTGAAGACACATTACCCTCTCTGTGTTTTCGCTTGAGAGACAATGCACAGGAAGCAAGTAGATTCACACTACAGAACCCTAGAAAAGCTCATGTCCCTGCACTATCAGTTACCTTTGAAGGTGGGGGTTATACAGGGGACTCAACTACGAGAACTGGTTGAAAGTAGGTGAAAGGAGCAAATTGACCCCCCATATCCCTTCTCCTTCCTCCTCTACAGCAGGGATGAGCCCTCTCCCACCTTGGCAGGAGACAGAGATTTCACTCTGGAGTCCTTGAACAGAGAGGGTCTACTCCAGGGGATCGAGGCACAGTAGAGGGTGGGAACCTAGGGGTCTATGAAGAAGGATTTACATGAAGTGAATGTCTCAAATGGTGAGACTTCCAGTCCCCTACCCTCCTTGTCTTGGCTTTCAGGCCACCGTGATCCAGGCTTAATCCCCATGCAAGACACTGGAGGATCCCTCTGGAGACTCTAACCAGCCCAAGAGGAAAGACCAAGAGCCACTTATCCAGTTTCTTTCTTCCTGTCCCTCCAGTCTGCTTTCCATAGATACTTATTCAGTGCTTACTATGGAGTAGGCCCTATTTTAGACTCTGCCATCAAGAAGCCTACATTCTAGTGGGAGAAAGAGACAAATATAGGGCTAAGTAGAAAAGTAAAGCAGTGTAAGCAGATTCAGAAGTGCACACTGCTTTTAGAGAACATATTTAAGGAGGCTCGCTCTGGTACGTGACAAGTGAGCGAAGACCTACACCAGCGGAGTAAATGGCCAGGTGGATCTGGAAGAGTGTTCCGGTGAGAAGAAACAGAAGGCAGCTGCTGTGCTGGACCTGAATGAGATCAGGCAGGGATCTCCCAGTGAGACACCAAATCCCTGTCTGATAACCCAGAAGGAAGCCCGCAAACCCACCCTCATACGAAAATCTTCCAACCAGCTTTCTCATTGCCTAAGGTTTGAAGGAGAACAGCCAGTCGAGGATCACCAAAAATCCTAACATGGAAAAGAGAGACCAAAAGCACAGAGAAAAGAAAAATAATTCAGAAGATACAGTTATAATTCAGTAGACAGAATAAAACTTCAGGAATAAACCCCTATACACTGCCAGATAGATAAAAGAATTATTATACTCTTAAAAAAAATTTTTTTTTGTAATCTTGATTTATTTTTGAGAGAGAGACAGAGTGAGAGTGGGGGAGGAACAGAGAGAGAGAGAGAGAGAGAGAGAGAGAGAGAGAC